TTTTGAAGCCGGAGTTGGAGTCGGAGTCGGAGTCACCCTAAAATCCATCGACTCCGTAGCCCTGGGCCAGACCGTTGCACCTAGTCCGCTGAAATTTGCGCAACTTATAGAACAAGGATGGGCAACGTGCCTGTGAGGGGTCTCAGTTCGATCGGGCTGCTGGTGGTGAGCACATGGCGCGTGCTCAAAAAGTGCGAATTCGCGTCATAGACTTTACATGTATAAATCGGCTTGCAAAATTGAGCGAAAATGGCTAAATTTGCCCGACACGAGTCCGGTCTCCGTGCAGTATCTCGGTAACCGTGGGTCCGATCGGCATGGGAAACACAGTATCGTGTATGAGAATCGAACGGGCTATCGAATGGTGAGCGGTGCAGGGATGGCACGCGCCACGTGCACCCATGAGGGCACTTATGCTTGAAAAATTGACGTTTCGGACGTATTTTGGACTTAATGCTATTTTCGGGTGACTGTCAGACGGAGCGGGTGCCGGGTTCAAACACCACCTGTTGGCAAGAGAAATGTACCGCCTCTCATGGATATTGCGAAAAGCTAATTGATCAAAAACAAGGTGGAACAAATCGCTGGAGAAAATGGTATTTGTTCATGACTTACTTAATTACACGGGTATTGCTGCACAACCTGGTACGTTTGACAATTGAAAATCGCATAGTTGGAAATAACATTCAACTTTGTCCAATATCCAATCATCGCTTTTGCATGACGAGCAAGTAGCAACAATATTCTTACAAATAGGTATAAATGTTTCAAACCTCTACATAGTAATTCATCAATGGCTTTCATTTTTGAATAACCTACGTCAACCTATGTTATAATACACTTGGCATGTTCTATGTAGTAGAACGCATGGTTATCAGATACGAGCACCTCGATGCGATGGATATTTTTTTCCCAAACCAAAATGCTTAGCTGTCAAAAAGCAATCGACCGAAATGGATACATAACCCACGGACACGACCAACCAAACGCCCACCATAAAAAATACCCCTTATTCGCGTTGCAGAGCAAGCGGGTCACCCTATGCGGGCCCCATTCACCCGGGGGCCCGGGCCCTATCCACACGGGGCCCCGAGCCCTATCCACACGGGGGCCCGTGCCCTATCCACACGGGGGCCCGGGTCACGTCCACCTGGGCTCCGGGCCCCGTCCACCCGGTGCTCCGGGGCCGGACCCATCCACCGGGGGCCCGGGCCCCGTCCACCCGGGGCCCCGAGTCCCATCCACCCAGGGGGCCCGGGCCTGTTCTCCCAAGGGCCCGGGCCCGTTCTCCCGAGGGCCGGGCCCCATCCTCCCAGGGGGCTCGGGCCCATTCTCCCGGGGGCCCGGGCCCCATCCACCCGGGGGGCCCGGACCCGTTCTCTCGGGGGCTCGGGGCCCGTTCTCCCGGGGACCCGGAGCCCCGGACCCATCTGGCGGGGGCCCGGGCCCGTTCTCCCGGGCCCCATCCACCCGGGGGCCCGGACCCGTTCTCCCGGGGGCCCCATCCACCCAGGGGGCCCAGACCCGTTCTCCCGGGGCCCGGGCCTCATCCACCCGCAGGGCCGGGCCCCATCCACCCAGGGGACCCAGACCCGTTCTCCCGGGGCCCGGGCCCCATCCACCCGGGGGCTCGGGCCCATCCACCCAGGGGGCCCGGGCCCGTTCTCCCGGGGGCCCCGGGCCCCATCCACCCGGGGGAGCCCAGGCCTGTTCTCCCGGGGGCTCGGGGCCCGTTCTCCCGGGCCCGGACCCCATCCACCGGGGGCCCGGGCCCTATCCACCCGGGGGCCCGGACACATCCACGGGAGGCCCGGGCCCATCCACCCGGGGCCCGGGCCCCGTCCACCTGGGGCCCTAGACCGACCCCTCACCCGTGGTGTCCCAGTAGGCATTTCTCGAAGCGGGCTCGTCCGATTAGATTAGGACCTCTCTCCCCCTCTCTCTCTCTCTCTCTCTCTCTCTCTCTCTCTCTCTCTCTCTCTCTCTCTCTCTCTCTCTCTCGAGCGGGCCCCTGACAGAAATTTCGGGGGGGTCAGCTGACCCTCTGACCCCCCCCTGGCTGCGCCACTGCCTGTTACACAGCCAGTCCCGGGCCGACACAACAGCAAACTCTCATGCCTGAGATATGCATAAAATAGACGATTATAATCTTACTCTCGCTTGCCTAGACGTTTTCACAGCCGCTGACGCATAGGCGGGCGATTGGCCGCCGGCACCTAAGCTCACTTAAAGCAATTTGACCCTTGTCCGATGGGTGGATGGGGGGGGGGGGGTCAAACGGACCCTCCCTCGGTTTTCGCGAATAACTCGCGTAAAGAACGGCCGATCGCGACACAACTTCTAGTACCCTCGCGCTAAACAATTTCACTCCTACCCTGAAAATTTCATGACCCTGACCCAAATGACCTGTGTCCGACGGTTTTTTTCTATTTGATTTTATCAGACTCATTTAGCAGTCTATTGGCTTTACGGTGGTTTAATCCTATTGACCCAATCGTTCAGGACATTTTAACTCGGGTAACTTCGGTGGAGCAGTCCGGAAAAACTATCCGTTTTTGCTGGATTCCCACTCATGTTGGAATCCAAGGCAATGAGCTTGCTGACGCCACCGCGAGACGCGCTGCCGCAGCGCCCTACACTCGGCGATTTTCTCTGCCTGCCCGGGATTACTATCCCGTCGTACGATCTTCCATACTCTCGCAGTGGCAGGCAGAGTGGGACTCGCGCGCGAGCCGTAAGCTGAGAGATATCAAGCCAACTCTCGAGCCTTGGTCGTCATGCATGCAAAGTAACAGACATAACGAAGTCGTCTTATGTAGGCTGCACATCGGCCATACGTATGCCACGCATGGTCATCTCCTCCGCGGAGAAGAGCAGCCCACCTGTCGCAGGTGTACCGTGCCTCTCACTGTCTCTTACGTGCTTTTATCTTGTCCTCTCGCTGAACCGAATCGAACACGCTACATCGGGCGCATCGCTCCGGGTATGTACCACTATCCGCCGCCTACTGGGTGACGAGTCACACTGGGTTTTATCCGGCAATATTGTTTCCTTTATCCATTCGATCAACGTCCATGTGATTTACTCGACCTGACCCCAATCCAACTAGTCCTCTATAGTCCTTACATCTAGTCAGTTGTCTTGGACGACACCTTTGCGCTGTTTTTTTCTTACGTTGCTGTTTTATATCGAGTCTTTTACTTTTTAGTGTTCGTATCTAGAAGGTTCTTTCATTTGACACACTTGTTTTATTAGTACGACGTTATGGGCGCAAAATGACATTAGAAGTCGGCGCGCCCTTAAGCCTCAATTAACAACAAAAAGACCCAAATGACCTGTGACCTACTTTTCGAGACCATGTTTGGCCGGAATCGCGATTCGGCGTATGTCGGGCCGACATACGTCGCATTAGCCGCGCGTTTGCAGTCTTTTCGTGGTTTCAAGCATTCAAACATGTGATATGATGCTGCTCCCATGCATTAGGGTGGGTGTCAACTGTCAAGGTCACCTGAAGGTCAGGTCAGGTCATTGACCTTTGATGACCAAGGTCCACTTTTTCGAGTTTTATATGTTTTTAGGCTGCGTTTGGGAGCTGAATTCGAATTCAACCATTTGAACCATATGAAGTACTTTGGTGTCTTCATAATATGTTACGAAGCTGTCAGATGCGGTTGACACCTACTACGAGACTCGGCAGGACCCCTCCTAGTTGAACTGACCTGACCCGACCTGGCCTAAATGCATGAAGACATTATCTGTGATCAAAACAAACATGACATTCGTGATAAGCACCCCGAAAAAACCCTTAGCAGCCACACTTAACGACGCTTTAACAGGTCCCGATCTTCCCTGCTGTTGGGTCACTTAGTTAATGTTCAATTCAAATGGTTGCTAAATTCAAATTCAGCTTCTAAAACTAGCTTAGAAACATGTCAAACTGGAAAAAAGAACCGAGGTAATCAAAGACCAGTGACCTGACCTGACCTTCAGGCGACCTTGACACCCACCCTAATGCATGTCACAGCATCATATCACATGTCTGAACGCTTGAAACTACGAAAAGACTGCAAACGCGCGGCTAATGCGAACCGACATCCACCGAATCGCGATTTCGGCCAAACACGGTCTCGAAAAATAGGTCATAGGTCAAAGGTCATTGGGGTGGTCAGCCGGGTCATGACATTTACAGAGTAAGTGCAAAATTGATTGACGCGAGGGTATTGAAAGTTTCATCGCGATCGGCCGCTTTTTACATGAGTTATCCGCGCAAACCAGAGGGGGGGGAGAGTACGTTCGACCTCCCCCCCTATATACGGGCGAGGATAAACTTGGGTTCTCCAAATAGCCGTTCCGTATGGATGGATTACACTTTAAAGCAGCTCCATCCTCCCGCTAGAGATACAAACTACCGAATAATGCACGTTTAATTCATACCATAATTTAATTCATGCTGAATACCGGTAACATGTAAACAGCTTGCTTAAAGGTAGACTGTCACCTTTTTTTCACTTACCGGTTTTCGTAAGAGGTGCCCGCCCTCACCACAGATGTCCAGTCCATTTTCCGTTATCCTCACCCTGTAACGCGCAATCGCCTCCCAAAGTTCCATTTGATGCCATCTTTTTCGCCGGTGAAAATGCTCATCACTACGATAGCATGTATGACACTTTTCATTACATTTTGGCATCATAGAGATTCATTGTTATTTTTCTTGAATGTTGTGACAAATTTCGTAATACCAATATTAATTTCAACAGCAAAGACGTACATTTAGCAAATTAATGTTGAAGGTTTCCTAGTATACTAGCATGAAGAAAGGCCGATCTCTTAGCATTGTGAAGGATTTCAGGGAAAGGAAAAACTTTGTCGAATTTAATTAAGAGCATTTTATACAAATTTTAAGGAAGAACTCGTCAAAAGGGTTTTATTTATCTTTTCTTATTCACACATATTCAATTCAAAGGCGATAAATTGTTAATTAGCAAATTTGTGGTAGAAGACAATGCTTTTTTTTACTTGAAGGGAAGTGGTAAAGGGAAGACCTGAGGTCCGATCTCTTCAACACTAGTGAAGGGAGCAGACCCTATGACAAAGGTAAGTGGTAAAGGATTTTTGGTTTGCTACCATGTTCTGCATGTTTCCACCTCTGTTTCAAACACGACGCGATAAAATTGAAGACTTTTTCGGGGCACGTGTCAAATGTATTGCTAATTCATAGGCGATGCTGAAAGTGGTTTCATCCTCATTTCTACGGTCTCTGTGCGCTAATATTTAATGGTTTTCATCGTGGTAAGTTGATATACAACGGTGCCGGAATCTCTCAAGTAACAAGTAACGGGTGTGCACTTAGTTTTGGAAAAAGATCGATTATCTCTTTTTTGAACTTGAAGTTATAAATACAAATGCTGGCATAGTGAATACCTAATCATGCAATTGAGGATGAGCATGCCAAAATTCAAATTTATACAATTGACTTGGGGAAACTACCCATGCTGGAAACTGCCAGTCTGCAAGGTATGGCAATTTCGACAAGATCTGGTCGGTGCGGGCTTGTTCAGCTGTTGCGGCGTGGTGCGGATTTCGCTTGGTGTGCAGATTTAGTGGATCACAGTGCAGATTTGGCTTGGCGATGGACTTGACGGACAAGACGATATTGATGAGGCAAATCGAAAAACATTGCTGGAGCTTTTATGTGTAATTCAGTGTCCCCTGGGTTTAAATGAGTGTGCAACTGCTGGTCATTTTTGGGTTCTGTGCGGATCTTTTACCCTCAGCCCACATTGGGGTGGATTTTCCGGTTTTGAAGGGTTGGTGCGGATTGTGAACTTGGGCTAGTGCCCTTCGTCGACATGCGAGCGATACTTTGCAGCATGGCTGCGCACGGCTGCAAAGTATGGCTTCAGCTTCAGCAATGTTTTTCAATTTTCCTCATATATCTTGTCTGGTCTGTCATGTCCATCAACAAGCAAATCTGCAATGTGCTACACCAGTGTCCCAAAATTAGGGATATTTTGGCTTGGGTGTTCGAGGGTAAAATTCCTCACTACAAAGAGGACTGAAAGTGGAAAATTGCCAGTCAGAAAGATACAAAGAAGAATGAAAACATGATCACCATTTTCTATGTGAATGTTACAGGATGTGGGAGCTGCGATGATTTAATGGAATTTGAATGTAGGTACAAGCCAGCCAGCAAATGTACATGCGGATGATCTTAGTTGTTAAAGTTGGGAGGGCAACTTGTCCTGGAAAATTAAAGGTGAGAGTGGACCAAGTGGACTATTCAATTTCACAAGGATTTCACTTTCCACCCAAATCTTGGGACACTGGGCTACACTAGATCTGCACCCTACCAGCCAAATCTGCACCACGCCGCATCAGATCAGCACCAGCTGAACAAGCCTGCACCGACAAGCTTTTGTCAAAATTGCAATGCTTTGCAGACTGGGAAACTACTAGGCGCAAATCCAAATATTGATCGACCAATAAACAGTTGAAGTGAGCAGGGCTATGACCAAACTAGGAATAAATAATTTAAATATGAATGCTTATAATTATAAATAGTTATAAAAAATTAGTATTTGTCAATCACCATTCAGCGACCGTTGACCTGACTCAGTCTGAAAAACGTGGCAGCCACGTTTTTCAGACATGCTGAAAGCTGTCATGCTGCACCTCTTAATATTAATTGTATAACAACTTTAAATGACAAATACAGCTTTTCTTTTACAGCAGCAACATGGTAAACCATTGTTGTGTCAAGACATGCAAGCAACACTTTGATTACAAGCCCCAACATAAGCAGGGTGCAAAATGGAAACTACACAGGTATGTGATCTCGCCACCGTCATTGCAGTATTTGAAATGCAGTATCATGAGGGTTATATTTTACCAGATAAACGCCTTTTGGGCGAAGACCGAACGAGCGAGAGAACTGTAGCTTTTCTTGACAAGGGGTCCTCTGACTTCGGGAATTTTTCAGCTATCGACACAAAATTGGCACACTGCTAGAACTAGACACACTCTACAGTATGTTATGAAAATGAATGAACCGGGGTGCTTGGGACATTCACTTTGCACGTGCAATGAATTCATATCCTATACTGTAGGTTGATTTCCATATCAATTTCACGTGCTTTCAATAATTCTTTAGACGTTTCAGTTCGTTACAGTCTCAAAAGGTCTCGGTTATCTCTCAGTCTACCCCCAAGACCTAACTTATTGTTTTTTCCCTGGCCCGGCATGCTCTCGGCACCATCCCTCCAATTCTGGCCCAAGGCAACGCACGAGCGCTGCCTGCATCTAGTATTGAAAAGACTTCGCTTCGCTTGCTTGCTCGTAACAACCTATGTAGGCTGTCGCCATTTATTGTGGCACAAATGTAAATGCACAGAGAAACCACCTGCTTTATTACCAAGAATTTGAGAAATCAAGCGATTACACCCCAAATCGCTTCCTCCAGCCGGAGGCTGTACCCTCGAAGGTAAGCGCGCTCCGTGGCCGAGAGAATTCCAGCGGTAGTGTTAGACGCGAAAGCAGCTGGTGCGGACGGCCATATTTTGCTCGAACGCGTAATCGCGTGCCGGTGGGGTGGTTCTATTATTTGTCTGAGTGAGAGGCGGCTTACCCATGGGGCGGTATATGGTGCAGAGCTGGGCGCCACTGACAAAGAGAAGGACGCTTATAATGTGACACAATGTGTTCTAATGTTATAATATCTTTTTTCGGCATGGGCCAAGTGCATGTGACCTTGGGGTGGTGCGTCAGTCAATAGTATGGAGATGAGTGCCTGTGGGCTGTGACGTTATGACGTTGTGCGTTGTTTTGTAATTGTGCCGTCTTTTGATGGGGCGAAGGCTTGCAAATCCGCCCCATTGGAACAAAAAGACATTATTGGCACGCCCCCCCCCCCCCCCCCAGCAGGGCACGGGTAAACACTCTGGTAGTTCACCAACCTCTCTCTGCACTGTGATTTCAGAACCTTGGTACGTCACCTGCGACGGCGACGTCACCTGCGAGTTCCGCGGAACCCCTGACGCCGTCACCAGCTGGACCATCCGCGGCACTGGACCATCCAGCGACGGCCGTGACGCCGTCACCAGCTGGACCATCCGTGGCACTGGACCATCCAGCGAAGGCCGTGACGCCGTCACCAGCTGGACCATCCGCGGCACTGGACCATCCAGCGACGGCCGTGACGCTGTCACCAGCTGGACCATCCGCGGCCCTGGACCATCCAGCGACGGCCGTGACGCCGTCACCAGCTGGACCATCCGCGGCCCTGGGCCATCCAGCGACGGCCGTGACGCCGTCACCAGCTGGACCATCCGCGGCACTGGACCATCCAGCGACGGCCGTGACGCCGTCACCAGCTGGACCATCCGCGGCACTGGACCATCCAGCGACGGCCGTGACGCCGTCACCAGCTGGACCATCCGCGGCCCTGGACCATCCAGCGACGGCCGTGACGCCGTCACCAGCTGGACCATTCGCGGCACTGGACCATCCAGCGACGGCCGTGGCGTCGACTCTGCCAGTGCCGGAGACGACGGCGACGTCACCTGCGAGTTCCGCGGAACCCCTGACGCCGTCACCAGCTGGACCATCCGCGGCCCTGGACCATCCAGCGACGGCCGTGACGCCGTCACCAGCTGGACCATCCGCGGCACTGGACCATCCAGCGACGGCCGTGGCGTCGACTCTGCCGGTGCCGGAGAGGTCGGCGACGTCACCTGCGCCGCTGGTGTCAACACCGCATGGACACCAGCTGCGAGCTGGTAAACGGCGGTGGAGTGGAAGCAGGTGAGAACTGGCAACCTATTTATGACAAACTTTTCTTTTTTGCTTGAGGGGTGATTCTGGTGTCTTTCTGCTAGAATTATTCAAATTGGGCTTTATCTATTATTTTGACCATGGACGTGCCTCAAGCATACTGCAGCAAAATTTTTACATTTATACCCCCCAAAACCCCCCTAAATATTGACCTAGAGCAACCAAATTTGCGCAGGGGCGAGAACTCCAGGGGGCCCACCTACCTACCAAATTTGGTGTTTCTAGGTGCCATAGGAGCCAATCGCGAGGGGGGTCGCATCACCCCCCCCCCTGCCAGGCCGTGTTATGAAAAATGTCCTGCCAGGGCGAGGGTTAATGTAGGAGCTATGCACACATAAAGCATGTGTTGTTTACAGCATGGTACTTCGGCTGCAGGCTTGAAATGGAACAGACTTTAGTCTTATCTGCATGTGGTAGCTCGAGCAGAGGTATTACATCTGCTTACGTGTCCCGTAGCAGCATTTTACACCTTGTCCTGCTCTCCCACAGAGCGCGCAAGCCACCAGCCAGCTGACTCAGAGCCCAGGGGGCGTTCGCCACCAACATCCGCACGGCGCAGCTGCAGAGGTGATTTCTGCCATGGAGCAGCATCCGCGGCTCCATGACATCATCCTTCCATCATTCTCCATCATCATTTCCGGAGCTCACCCGACGGCGGAGCTGGCCTTTTGGTGTTTTGTATGATGGTAAAACGTGCTTATACCTTTTCTCTGTTACCAATGGGCCCTATTAGGTACTGCATCTCCTGCATTATTAGGTAGAGATGCAGTACCATTATTAGGTACTGCATTATTAGGTACTGAAGGAGATGCAGTACCTAACAGATGCTTTCAGTGAACTTGTAGAGTCGAGATTTAACGTCAGGTGTTTGGCGTATTTAGATGATTTTCTTTTCATGTCCAAGGACGCTGAATGGTATCGCTGCGTTTCTGACTAGTGTTGGGTTGTGTATTAATTTCAATAAATGAGTTCTCGTTCCGTTGCATGTTTTTACGTTTCTTGGTGTGTCGATTGACTTTGGGCGTGATTCTGCGCGTGTTCAGGATAATGCCTTGTCTTGTCACTATTGCGGGATGGCCGTGGTCCAAGCACAGTCGCTGTGACAGACGGTTCGATGTGTCGACCAATCATGTTGCTTCGTTTTTGGCGCCTTGTGTGTTGTCCGGTCTGTCAAGACTCAGCTGGCTCAGTCTCGACTCTGGCTCTGGCTGGCTCAGTCTCAGTCTCATCAGAGAGCGAAAGGAGCTGCGCGCGCGGCTGCAGCAATTCATCGGCGGCGGCGCTGTGAACGCTGTGTCGGCGGCGCGCGAACAGGAGAGCTGATCGCGCTAAACGAGGACCGCCAGCAGCTTGTCCATCTGCAGCAGCTGGTGTTGCAGCTGATGGGCGGCCAGCAGCTGGCGGCGGTCGCTACCCCCCCCCCCGCCGGTCCTGTGTGCGGGGACCGCCGCGCCCGGCAGTGATGGAGGGTACTATGGCGGTGTTACATTCCTAACTGTTGTCACATATCAACTGAGAACCGTCCGGCCGGAGGCAGTTAACGCCGGCCGGCACCTACTCACCGTGGCCGTATTTTTTATATGGAGAGAGGAGAGAGGAGAGAGAGGACATCAGGTTGTCAGAGAAATAAAGTGTATATTTATTATTTGAATCGAGCGAGTCGCGTGTTCCACGAGCGGGACTTGGAGCAAAAAGCTGGCATTGAGATACAACGAACAGAACGTGGCGTCGAGCAGGAACGCCCCCGGCTATGTACACGGTGCTGCTGGGCGCGCGACCAACAAAACACGAGAATGCATCAACATCAAAGACACACGGTACATCAAAGCCCTCCGCGCCATCGCTGGGTCCGTCGGCACCGCTAGCGCTTCTACAAAACAAGCACGCACATAGAGACGCCATTTCCAAACGCACGCATACACAGAACAAAAACGCACATGCACGTCCATTCGTTTCGCTCAGTCACCCATGAACGGCTTGGGTTTCCGGACGGTCACCAGCCGGCGGGGCCGCGCCGCGGCAATAGGCGTGAGTCTCCTCGTTGAGCTTGCTGAGCGCGCTGCCACCGGAGGCGGACGGGGCGCCGCCGGCCGCGCCGTCCTTCGCGTCGCTCACCTCCACCTCGACCCCACTGTCGGAGTCCTCGGCGGCGGCGCGCCGGCGCAGCTGCTCGCAGATCTCCTCTGTGACGAAGGTGGCGCACTTGGGGTCGCGCATCAGCGGCGTGAACTCGAGCTCTGGCCGGCCCTGGTGCAGGCTCCGTCAGCGGCCGCGGCTGCACCACGGCAGCGCGCGATGCTCGCACAGCTCGCACTCACGCTCCACAGGAGCCGGCGCCGACTCCGGTCGCCGCCGCTTCACCGGCGTCGAGCTGGCCTGAGACGAGCCCTTTGCCGCACCGCCCGAGCCCGTGTGAGGGATGATTGTGAATTGTGATCTCGTTGTTGATTTTGATGGGCTGTCCGGTGGCGGCCGCCGCCGCAGCTGCCTTCCTACGGCCAAACGACTCCATAATCTTCTTGGCGACGACAGAGTGAGGGCTGTAGACGTCATTCTCGAACTGTTTGTATACATATGCGAATGTGGCCGTACAGACGGTGCACTTGTAGGGAAAGGTGCACCGGGTTCAGCATCACAAGGTGGTCCTTAAAGACGTGGTGCAGGAGCTTCCACTGGTACACCTGGCGCACACAGAGAAAACACGTCACCGGTAAATCCCAGTTTGAAGTGAAGGAAGATGTGCATGAAATCCTAGGACCAGACAACTCGCAGGGGGGAAGTCCACAAATGACGCAACATCACTAGGTACAACCTCGTATCGCACAGCAATGTAAAATCTTAATGGTACCTAATGGTCTCCCTAATAACCAGTGTACGTGTATCTCCAACCCGAGCCGCCTCCCACGATAAGATCAAGACTTGTGTCAAGACATGTGTCCTAAGTATTAAGTAATAAGTTCACCTGTATCAAGTTCACCTAGCACCACTTTTCTGAAAGAAAAGTGGTTCATGTTTTAGTGCCATCTTTCATTATTGAAAGACAATGATGTTGAATGTGTTTTCTGATGAACCACAAAGTGAAAATCAGTGATTTATGGGTGCATTGTATTTAAGAATTCCTTTTGAATTATCATGAGCAGAGTTGAATACCTCCTTTTGCACTCTTTAGAAAATGAAGAGACTCAAAAATTAAAACATGATTAGAAAGAACACATCCTTAGAAATGTTTTGTGTACTAACCATATTTTTTTCACAAAACATTTATAACTTCCACCAAACCACACAATGAGTCAGGTGAGATTATCTTACATTAGGTAAGGTTAGGTAAGGTTAGATTAGGTTGTATTATTTCTGCTTGTAGTGTACCTGACTTTTCAAGGTAGGTACATGATAATTTTAATTGCAATAATCACCTTAAAATATATATTGGCTAGCAACCTAGATAAAGGCTAGGCCACACATGGCAATTAAATAAATATTAACAATTGTTTCATACTTTCACATCGCATCGTAAGAAACATTCAGTTATTTACCTTTGGGGCTCGGGCTGGGCGGTGGGTGAAAAGTTGAGAATTCTTCTTGCCCCTCGACCACCTCCTCTCCTCACCCGTCCTCGTCCTCTCCCTCGCTCACCAGGCATCTTCACCTGGAAGGTAGGCATACAGAAATGGGCCAGTCTGCAAAACGTGGCAGGTCTTGACAATATGTTGTCAGGGCACACACCACAGGTTGTGGCAGGGCAGGTTTGAGGAATTTTGGGGCAGAAGCAAGGAAATCTGGGGCAGAAGTTGAAAGCTTGTCACAGCATTGATTCATTTCGCTTCTCATACTTATTAAATGATGCACTTCATCATTATATCATTTTCATCATATTCATGAGGGGCCCTCATGAAAGGAATTGGGTTGCCCAGGTCTCGGCATTCCGCTTGGGGCAATGTTTTGACTGTCCCAAACATCTTGTCACGGATTGAGCTCCCTGCCACACTTTGAAGACTGGGAAATTGGTGCTGGAATGGAAACACTATCAGATTCATGACAATTTTTCCAAAACCATAGGTATTTGTTATTCAAATAGCACTTGTCTCAACTTAGTCTATCACTATTCATATAAACCTGGAAATAGTCTAGCTTTTAATATCACATGCCAAAATACATGTATATATATACCTATCAGATGAATCAGAATTGGAATATTTTAAGATATAGATAACATAACTCATTAAAACAGGCAATTCCAAAAGCGTAAACACGACATACATAACCAAAGCAAGGATCATTGTATATTTCAATTGTAACATGCGCGCCGTTTATGGCGACAAAACCCGCTTCCATATCTTATGACCTTGAAGTCTAGTGATGTGTCAACATTGCCGCTAGACATTATCCGATTGATAATTTATGATAATCGATAATTTTTTTACGCGATTCACGTGATGATAGCTTGCCAGGTGAATTCTAAAATTTCGTTTTATCCAGGGAAAAAATCATGGGCCGATCTGAGAAAACTTTTTGAAGGTGGCAGTCTTCCTTTAATCCGTAATCCTAGCACACCTTTTCCGTGGATTAACCCTCGCCCGTGTTGGTGTTTTTCCAGCCGTGAACGTATAAGGGGGGGGGGGCGTTGGACCCTCCTTGCCGTTTCGCCCCTGATCGAGCTAGAGCTTCGCGGTAAAAACGAGCGTGTTGCCCATGACGAGAAGCCGATGATACCCAATTTTAAGGTCCTAGGTCATTGTTTGACCTTCCAGGTCAGGTCAATGACCCAAAAGTCGGGAAAATCGGGACCTGTTAGAACGCCGTAGTGTGGCTGCTATGGGGTTTTTCGGGGCGCTGATCACGAATATCATGTTAGTTTTGATCACATGCATTTAGGCCAGGTCGGGTCAGGTCAGGTAAGGTCAGCCAGTAGGGGTCCTGCCGGGTAGTCACAGGTCAAGTGTCATTTGGGTCAGGGTCATGAAATTTTAGGGTAGGTGTAAAATTGATTAACGCCAGGGTACTGAATGTTTCGTCACGGTCAGCCGCTTTTTACGCGAGTTATTTGCGAAAAACCGAGAGGGGGGTCCGTTCGAACCCCTCCCTATTATACTGATACGGGCGAGGGAGGGTTAACGACACCTCTATACTGATACCTTTCAAGATTCCTCGTTGATGGAGCCAGGGGTAGCCAGTAACAGTTGGTAGCATTAGGCCAAATGGGCGCTCAAAAACTACTACCCCATAGGGTTTCCATGTTAAATCGACCTTTTACAAGCGAGCCTCACACGTAAGCTGAAAGATAAAGTGCCAATATTATTGTGGGGAAAGGTAGCCTCAAGCTTCCTCTACAACCTTTTTATCTAGCGTTTTTTGATGCAGAGGCCATAACAGGTCCAAAAAGCATTGGGCGCTGCCCGAGGTACCAAAAGCCTCTCCATGAAAGCACAATTTCCTGCGCATGCGCACATTGCCTCAACCCTGTACTGGCGTACATTAGTGATACTGCTCACGGACTTCGTCAGCCAATCAGCGTCGCCGATCACATTAATAGATGTCGCTAGCATCACGCAAATCCTGCTTGCGAACACATTTAAAGAATGAAACAGCTGCGCCATTTCCGCCTTCCGTTGATTCCTTCCATCTTAGTATCAACTATACGCTTTTCAACTAACTTTAGACTAAGTTTTAAACTATGGTCAGTATGCTATTTCTGGTACATATAATTTAAAAATAACTGCTTTATGAATTTGGCTTTACTCGTCAGAATAGAATACTTTATTTTTTCCATATTCAAAAAATATATCACCTACCATGTAACTCATCCAGGTAAAATGGGCGCTTTCCGCGTCGTTGGTGTACCCGTTGTTCTATATACCCTGGATGGAGCTACACAGCACACATTACCCGGCCAGAAACTGACGGGGTGTTTGCCATTGGTTTTGTTTTGTAGGGTTAAATCTTTCGGTTCGACGAGACATTCAGCATACGTATACTGCGCGTATACAGCAATACGGAGCCTTCATTAAACATATAAAAACGTAAAAAATGGGTAGCTCTGACTCACCGAGTTCAGATAACTTGTCATAGTTGGACTTCATGTTACAATAAACTTGCTTCTCGAGATCACTTAGGGCTTCCCAGGCGTCCTCGGCAAAAAACTGTCGTATGTGTCTAAACTTCCCATCTTCGACTTCCATCTTACGATATAATCAACGGTCGCAGCAGCCAGCAAGGGCGAAAACAACACAATCGCGATATTATAGGAGCTTAAATATCAATATGTTGCTTTCCAATATATATCCAAGCGATCTAATTTAATTATATCCTTTGTTTCAAAACCCTCTTCTTGGCCCTTGGCTTCCTGCCCAAAGCGGCCAAAGCCATATATTTCCTGCCACTTCCTGCTTCTTGTTTGTTGCTGTTTAGTGTTTACATTCATCTTCTGCTTGGGACCGGAAGATACATTCAAGGTTTCATAGAAATAAATCAAATATTTATTGAGGCAAGATTCCTTTTCTACTCCATTAAGTAAATATTTAATTTATTATCCTGTAATTTTGTCAAGATGATGTAGTAAAATTTAAAATAAGGATGAAAAATTCACAAGGAATATCACAAGAAAGATTGTAAATTTGTCATGAATAAAGTTATCAAAAAGTTTTACGACAAAATTGCACATGCTATTACAACTTTTGCAATTTTTAAAAGAGCATATGTACTTTAAACTAGTTTTTCCTATATTACCTGGCTGCTTTTTGACTTGAAGTATGCATCAAATGGCATCAAATCATAAAAAACCTCGCATAGTCTTTAATGACGTCATTTATGTTTGACAAATTCAATGTGCATTTCACGCAAATTTCACGCCAGGTTTGATCAGGGTATGAACAACGGTTTGATGGGTTTGATGCCAAGTTGATGCCAAGTCAAGTTGATGATAACAACGCGTTTTGAGTGGTGTTTTGGGCGCGCGTGTTGGTGGTTATTGTTGTATGTGGGTGTAGTGGGTGTTTCTCGATGATTGTTGTGAATGGCAAGAGTCTTTTTATTTCTCAGTTCGTATTTCCGAGCCGTATGTTAATTTTTACCAGCTAAAATTCAAAGGTAACCCATGGAGCATCCGTCAAATTGCGCTGCAAATGTCGCGGTTGCGTCATATATATCTGAGGGCTGTTCACGGGCTCCTGTGTGCGGTCGGACCGTACACAGCCTCCAAGCTCCACCCACTGTGTCCCTATGTCAGCCTTCCGTCACCGCTCATGGCCGGTCGGGACCGGCCACAGCGGACTGTCCACCGCACGCAGCCGTGACGTCAGAACCGCCTACCCATCCCCTACCCCCGGCCCCACGCCTGCCGAACACAACGCACACACCGCACTCAGCAGTTTGCGGTGCCCGTGAACACCCCCTATGCTAGCTCAGTTGTTTTGCTTCTTAGTTTTTACATAAAAATATAAGCACACCCAGAGCACGGTATTACCGTATTAGTATATAAAAACGTTTTTTTTTGCTTTACTTCTTACTTTAAGTACCTTACCAGTACAGGAATTTTGATGGCCACCATGGCCATTGGCCTCAGGCCTGTAGGGTCCCTATGGCATCGAGCTCCTGAACTGAGGACTCTGGTGGGAGCTAATCTAGGAATTAGGATAGAGTATCTGATTCGGTTTCAGTAATTGTCCAGTCTGGTCTTGAATTGGTTGAGAGTGGATACCAGGATCACAGAAGGAACCAAATCACAACCAAACTGAACAAACCAGAACAGAACAAATCACCTCTCATGAATTAACCAATTGCTGCCTTGCCCCTGCTCCACAGCTGTCCAGGATGGACTCTAAGAAGTTCTGCCTCAAATGGGACTGGTTCCAGGGCAGCGTCACGTTTGTGTTTGACCAGCTCTGCTGTGGAAGGGAGCTGCTGGATGTCATGCTCTGCTGTGAGGGACAGCGTGTCCGGGCCCACAGATGATGCTGTCTGCCTGCAGTCTGTACTTCAGGGAACTGCTCAAGGTGGGTGATGGGGCAATGCACCTACTAAAGTCCTGGAGAGTCATATGGGGCTGATGACACTGACAATTGACTTAAAAACTTTGAATGTAATGATTATTGTCAGTCGAATATGATAGCAGTGGCATTTAGTTATAATACTGACAAAATACCTAAAAGGCTTTGAACTTTGAAGTGTAATTGTAGTTTACCTTGCAGTTGTTGCGCCCCTAACCCCCAGCAAACAAACAAATGCAATTGTAGTTTTGCTTTAAAGAGTAAAAGACATGCTTTAAATCTAGCAGAGGAATGCATTTTCTTCATAGGCATCCTGAATAACTTAAATAGCGATTCGGGACGTCAAAATAACAAATATTACGCTTGTTTAGTAGAACAAGAGCAGAACGTTCCTTCCTTGGGCGGGCAGGCGGGCCGAGAGTGGCGGGGTCTGCAAGCCAATAAGGGTCATTTCATGCTTCTCTGGGTGGCTGCCTATGTTCTTGCAGGTAGTGGTCTTGCACCTGCAGCTCAGTGCTAATCCATAATGATAATTAAGTAGTACCTATAGCCGTAAAAACACTGACGCTCATTCCCCTTCCCTCTCAGGCTCGGCGGCTAATGCTCCGGGCTCCTTACCGGTGACGGAGGAGGGTCCTTCTCTCCGCCTCTGAAGGAGCTCACTCAACTACCCTCTCGCCCCGCGCCATCTGCGCCGTCCTCACCGCCGGCCGACCCGACCAACGGGAATGACAGACGCCCTCCGGCACTGCTGTGAGAGGAAACTGAAGGAGAGCGTCGCTGCCAGACTACCCGGTGAGTGCGGGTTCGAATCTCGAGAGGAGCGGAATTTTTAAGAGTGATTTTGGATTAGGGCGTAGCTCGCCACCGGTCTATATTGATAGGTGGCCGGCTTGTTAGTGTTGGTAGAAAAAGCAGTCTATTTGCAATCAACTGAAATACCACACCATGGTCCTGGATTTGAGTAGTTTTGTTCTGTGTCGCTGTGCTAAGATTTTACCATCGCGATTGAAATCGAGAGACTTTAGACGGTTTGAATTCCCAGCAATGTGGATATTTGATAGCTTTCGTTCGTAATGCTACTGGTGTTTGTGTTTCGAGTGAACCGTTTTAATTTACGTGTGATTTGCGAGAGTTATTTATCAGATTAATGGCTGTTACTGGCGTCTTCAACTGCCCGTAGTCGGGTGCCTGGCGCCGCCCATGGCGCCTCCCGGTGGGGCGTGCCTGGCACCGCCCCTGCCGCGTGGCCCGGGGCGGGGTCAGCGGTCGGCGGTCGAGGCACGGGCGTGTGGATGGCTTTGATTAACGGCTCGCTCCCCCGTGCTCTTGGGGCGTCCCGTCAGAAATAAATTCACCACATTGAGTGCAGGTGTTATTGGCTCCCACTATCAACATGTTTTAATTTGTATGTGTATGGGCGTGTAACATGGTGGTACGTGATTTCCTCGCTACGTGTTTTCCTGATGGACGCCTTTTATTTTGAATGATATTGAGGGTTTGTTTGAAAATTGTGTGGAGCCCCATTATGATTAAAAAATAAGGAAGTAATAGCCTTTGGCTCATTGTGTAATTGACAATGAGGACGCCTTTTCTCTTCAACAGAGGGCGCCTATCTGCACCAGCCGCCGTCCCGGTACATTTTCCCCGGAATGGAGGTGCTGGTCGACCCGATGACTCGGGCAGTGACGCTGGGCTCGGAGCGCGGCAGCGACGATGAGGTGAGTTACTGCGAGTGAGTGTGTTCGATTCTAACCACAGGATGTTGTGTTGTACGATTTTTTCGTATTGCGACAGTTTTTATTCAAGTTTAAAGAATCAGCGTTGTTAAATGCTGTCATTCATATCGAATGCTGACTTTCAACTCCTGAGTTGCGTTAAATATGTTCGTGTTCGGGACTTTTTATGTTGGAAAACGGAAATAAATCTTTTCGCATTCCATATGTTTGTAGGATTCCTATCAATATTTTCGTTTTATTATGGTTCGTTTTTTTTTCTTCTAAGTTTGACCCTCACTGTAAACATATTTTTGAACACAGCACGAATTACGGTCGTGTATTTTGTGTCATATTAGGTCCACTGTATTGATCGGTCTTATTAGGTGTCTTTTATGAAGTGTTCATTGTGTGCCCATATTGCATTGTATATGACGAAGGTCGCAGAATAGCCCTGCACCAGTGGAGCGACCTTATTCGGTAAATACATACATACATACATACATACATACGAGAATTGCTAGCTGAATTACTGAGAAAACTGGTCAGCGCGCATTGTATGGAAGATCTAAATGATATATTCAAAATATGGTTTGAACACCGATGATGGATCGTTATGTTATACGCCGTGCGATTTCTTAATTAGTTCAGTAATAGTTCCTGACAAGTGTTATATCCCTGTGGGGTCATAAATAAGGCCAAATACGAGCTACGAGCCTGGGAAATGTGAGCCAGGTATAACTAATTTTGATCAGGTTGATCGTCTGTGAAATCAATGTGCGCCAATCAGTTTTCTCAGTAATTCAGCTAGCAATTCTCGTGCCGTGTTCAAAAAGATGTTTACAGTGGGGGTCAAAGAAAGAAAAACAAACGAACTATAGCATGCAGCTTCATCATCAGAGCGCATAATCTCTCGGAAGCGCATCATCTCTGGACACATCAGGGCACGTCGGGACAATAACACTCCGCCCCTTCTCTCTCTGTCTGCAGTTGGTGACCGCTGACGACCATCTAAACCACTCCTCGGACACTCCAGAGACGGACGTCACGCCTCCACACACCGACTCATGTCCTCCAACTCCTCCCGGACGGGTTACTCCCTCTGCGGCATCATCAGGAGCGGCGTCTTCAACATCGGCTGCTGCAGTGGAGACTTCAGCCAGACGGACGGTGACAAACCTTTGTCGGAGGATGCCGGAGTCGGAGCCAGTCATGGTGGGTTGTTGGGGGCTGAGCCCTGAAAAGGCCGATCAGTGACACACTAGCAAAGGACGAGGGGGATGTGAAGAGACGTCCGGCGCTCGGCGGTGGTGGCGAGCCTGATGATTCTCCCATCACCGCGCCGCCAACGCCGGGGGCAGTGGTGGCGCGGGAAGTGCGCCGGAAAATGCCACCGGCGCGACTGACGAGATCAGCTAATCTACCACTGAGGTCCGGGGGTCGGGTAAAACACACCGAAGTCGGGGTCAGTTCAGTGAGAGTTTTCATGCGCATACCAACACAGATTGGTGACCATAAAGATCTATTTTCATACAGTGTCTGCACCTAATGTTGTGCCTGGGTGACTGATGCGGTTAGACTGAGTTTGGGGCTAGGAAGTGGAGATCATGAATCAGACTGATTCGGTTTGAAAGCCATCATGTGAACTGTTGTGGAGCTATGAGCCAATGGTGAGCTAATTTAGGGCTACGAGCTCCATGGAGCTATGAGCCAGTGGTTAGATTTATTTAGTTATGAGCCAGTGGTGAGCTAATTCGGAGCTGGGAGCTCAGGGTGAGCAAATTGGAGACTATTAGAGATGAGCTAGTTTGAGCTATATGAAGCAGGAGTGAGCTATCATGAAGCGCTAAGCCAGTGGTGAGCTAATTAATCCCATTTGTTGGCGTGTATCGTTGGACAAATACCTCATTTATTTGTGACATCATTAAACACCAGAAGTTTTCTCTCTTCAGTGCAACACGACAACAACACAAGAACGCATGGCGGCGGCCATTACGGACAGGAGGACCTTAGTGGTGAGGGACCGTCCAACCAAAGGCGTCCAACCAACTTCTGAACTCCGGTCCTCATGCTACACGTGCACTTCTGCCGTACAAAGGCAAAACCTCCTATGTTTCGATTTTCGCCGATATTTTATTTTTCACTAGAGCAGTTTTTGTGTTTTTGGTAATTGTCGACGTAAGAAACAACAGATGTCACAAAATCGTATATCCTCGGAATCCTTAGAAAACGAGAAATTTCATTGTTATAAAATAAAATGACAATGCCAAATACTATCCATGAAAAGGCTAAAAGTAGGTTATGCCAGTGTAATTTTTATGAGCGATGCAAAGGCAAAAACACCTTTGTTGCAAAATGCCGTCAAAATCCCCTATGTTAAGAAATTATACCTTTCCCTTGCGAAGACAAAAACCCCTATGTTGCAAAAGGCCGTCAAAATCCCCTATGTTAAGAAATTATCCCTTTCCATTGCAAAGGCAAAAACTCCTATGTTGCAAAATACTATAAAAAAACACTGTGTTGGGAAATTAGGGCGTTGGAAAGCAAATACCTACGCGATGCTCATGTGGTGCGATTAAAGGCAAAGTATCAAATACGAATACCAGTGATATTGAAATATCAAATAATTTATTGCCAGTACGCTTCGTCGATGAAAAGAAAGTATGCTAGTTGTTATAAATCATTCTAATGCGTGGTTGTCATGTCCTCGCGAACATGACAGAAAGACAAAGTCTAAACAAAGCATGTATTCGTTCGTCAAAATGATCATACACGCAACATTGCGGTTACACAAAACGCATCGTCTGACGCTTATATTGCAGATTGATTGATCACATTGCGGTTACACAAAACGCATCGTCTGACGCTTATATTGCAGATTGATTGATGATTGATGATTGATTGATGATTGATTGATTGATTGATTGATACCACAAGCTATACCACAAGAAATCATCAAGACTGTGAGCCGATACAAATGCATCATCACAACACCAGGCAACGCTACGCCTATGTCTTCATCATGTCCCGATGTTCATCGGGTTCGTCGCCTTTTGCGTGACTGAGTTGTGGTGGCGAATGTCGTCCCTGCAGGCGCGCTTGTGCCGGCCGCCATCGTCTCCCAGAAGGCACGCTTGTGCTGCTCGAGATGAGGCACGAGCGTCTCGCAGATGGCCTTGATCTTTGCCTTCTCGATACCAGATATCTTCGATCTCATTGGCAGCGGCTCTTCTGCTGAAAACGTGCTCTTCGTTAGCTTGTATGCCATCCACGTTGTCCCTTTTAGGTCAGTCTTCATCATGAGGTCCTCGGACCCCCGCCGAACTCTCAGAGCCTTCAGGTCCGCCAGATATGGCCGTTGTTCGTCGCTTGACAGCGCCGCCAGTCGCTGCCGGCTGATCCCGTCCTCCACTTCTACCATGTTCACCTGTGGCCTCATTTGCATGGTTTTTGTGCCACTAGCCTCCGTAGCCTTGACATAGTCTTCAAAATCTTGTATCTTCCGTTGCTTGAACCTCTTTGATATCGTCTGATGTACAGCGTCAGCCGACATGGACGTGTGTCCTGTTTCCAAAAACTTCACTGTGATCGTGCTCGTTCTCGTCTTCGTAGAGTTGACCGTCTTCAGAAGAGCGCTGCACAAGGCCCAACTCTTATTCTGCGCACCACAATTATCCGCCCAGATGGTAACATGAGCGACGTCCCGACAGGCGGACTCGAGGTACAGCACATATGCTGCGGCGACCTCTTCTGCGCTCCGTCCAGCGTGTCCTTCGTGCCAGACTACGCACATACTGTTCTCCTTCTGGAGAGCCCTTCTGCTTGATTTATCTCCTTTGTCTGTCGGCATGAGGATGCTGAAAGTTTCATTGTAGCAAATTAGTCTCTGTGTGAAGATGGCTTCTTTCAAGGGAAGAATCGGAATTACCATGACTTTCATCATATCGGCTGACAGCACGATCTCATCATCACTCCATGTTCTATCTGCGTCGGCACGATACTCGTTTCTAGCTATCTTGGCTAGATCCATGTGTTCAGCGTGAGCGCAGCACTCACTACATCCTTCGATGTGCTCGGAGGGTTCCTTCGCCTGCCTTCCATGGCAGTCCTTCAAATGCTGGAGATGAACGGAGCATTTCGCACACTCTTCTCCCGCGAGTTGTGCGAACGAGATGTTCATCTCGCGCACGACCTTCCTGTATGTCTCGTAAGAGCACTGCCCACCACGGCGGGTGTAGTCTGTGTACATGTCACGCACAGTTACATCTGAGGGTAAGTACATCCTCTGAGGCGCATGCATATAGCGATAGTGGTGCTTGATTGGGTGGTATAAGTTGACGTGATCCTTGATCATATAGCGGTCAGTCTTGTTCGAAGGGCAGTGACACCCCCGCTCGTCTCCTGCCGGCCGGATCGAACCATCTTTGACGGCTGATAGGACAGCTTCAGCGTTATCAGCCGCGAACCCGAGTGTTGTCAGATAGAACGATCTGCACACAGTGACCGATTTGTCTCCAGATGGCAACGACCAGGAGAACGCCCTGGTACGCCTGGGATCAGATTCCCTCCGGTGTTCGGGACGACGAACATGCACGTCTGTTGACTTGACGTAAGTTCGATACCACTGTTGGCGTGCCTCACGGCTGAGCTGGTTGACCTCAGTGTTAATCTCGATCCGAGTGGATTCCAAAACCTTCTTGAAACACTCATTGCGGCATCCATCCTTGCACTGTTTTGGAACATTTAGTACCGGATGCTTCTGCGCGAAGTTGGCGACTTTCTGTGCGGAGGTTCTCGCTCTCTTCTTGACTGCCGTTTTTCTTCGCTTAGGTGGGGGTGAGCTGGTCGCTGGCGAGTCTACTTCTCCTTCTGCTTCCGGAAGATCATCTGGGTCAACAGTTTCCTCGGTCGTACCTTGCATGTCGCCGTGTGTGTTAGTGGCGGCTCTTGGCGTGAATATGCCTACTAACGGGGACACTTCAAGCAACAGCTCGTCTTCGCTCAGAAACAGATGTTCTACCGACTCCATGTTCGCGTCATTCATGGAAGTCAGTGGGTTCAAATATCTTTGCATTTCCGATGTCTCGGGCATTGCTTCCCTCTCTGGCTCCAGATATGCAAAGGCTTCGTCACAAAACAGCTCGTCACCAGGTCCGCCCGGTGCTCCGTCTCCGCCTGGTCCACTCGGTGTCATGCCTCCGTCCATTCCACTCGGTGTGCTGTCTCCGCCTGGTTCACTCGGTGTCCTGTCTCCGTCCGTTCCAGTCGGTGTTCCGTCTCCGCCTGGTCCGCTCGATGTGCTGCCTCCGTCCATTCCACTCGGTGTGCTGTCTCCGCCTGGTTCGCTCGGTGTGCTGTCTCCGTCCGGTCCAGTCGGCGCTCCGTCTCCGTCCGGTACGCTGGGTGCTCCGTCTCCGCCTGGTCCGCTCGATGTGCTGCCTCCGTCCGGTCCAGTCAGTGTGCTGTCTCCGTCCGGTCCAGTCGGTGCTCCGTCTCCATCCGGTACGCTCGGTGCTCCGTCTCCGCCTGGTCCGCTCGATGTGCTGCCTCCGTCCATTCCACTCGGTGTGCTGTCTCCGCCTGGTTCGCTCGGTGTGCTCTCTCCGTCCGGTCCAGTCGGTGCTCCGTCTCCATCCGGTACGCTCGGTGCTCCGTCTCCGCCTGGTCCGCTCGATGTGCTGCCTCCGTCCGGTCCAGTCAGTGTGCTGTCTCCGTCCGGTCCAGTCGGTGCTCCGTCTCCATCCGGTACGCTCGGTGCTCCGTCTCCGCCTGGTCCGCTCGATGTGCTGCCTCCGTCCGGTCCAGTCAGTGTGCTGTCTCCGTCCGGTCCAGTCGGTGCTCCGTCTCCATCCGGTACGCTCGGTGCTCCGTCTCCGCCTGGTCCGCTCGATGTGCTGCCTCCGTCCATTCCACTCGGTGTGCTGTCTCCGCCTGGTTCGCTCGGTGTGCTCTCTCCGTCCGGTCCAGTCGGTGCTCCGTCTCCATCCGGTACGCTCGTTGTGCTGTCTCTGTCCGGTCCAGTCAGTGTGCTGTCTCCGTCCGGTCCAGTCGGTGCTCCGTCTCCATCCAGTACGCTCGGTGCTCCGTCTCCGCCTGGTCCGCTCGATGTGCTGCCTCCGTCCGGTCCAGTCAGTGTGCTGTCTCCGTCCGGTCCAGTCGGTGCTCCGTCTCCATCCAGTACGCTCGGTGCTCCGTCTCCGCCTGGTCCACTCGGTGTCGGTGTCACCGCCTCATCTTCGACCTCTGTGAAAAGCGGGTTGATGGGATTCCTGAGTCTGTAATTACTATTTTCAGGGCCGCTGAATGAACTGAATGTACTCAATGTATGAATGTACTCAACAGACATGTTCGTGGATCCTAGAAATGGATCTGGAGATCTGATCCCATGGATCTGGATCCGATATCATATGGGATCATAGATCCGAGTCTCCATTTTGTCGAGAGATCCACTCGGATCATGGATCCGGCATTCGGTTTTGTCGAGAGATCCACTTGGATCATAGATCCCAAGCTCCCCAACCTGCTATCATCCAAGAACAAGATAGCAGGTTCAAGACCGTGATTCAGTGCAATATGTGACTAATGATGCCCAAGTTCAAGCTTAAATTGGTTAATTAACCGTTATTAACAGTTATAAGTGTCAAAAACTGTTTTTGTCGAGAGATCCACTCGGATCATGGATCCAACCTTTGGTTTTGTCGAGAGATCCACTGGGATCATAGATCCGACCTTCGCTTTCGTCCAGAGATCCATTGGGATCATGGATCCATGATTCCATTTTGTCACGGGATCCACCGAGATCATAGATCCACAGTTGGGATCCAAGAACATGTCTGGTACTCAATGAACTGAATGAATTCAATGTAAACAATTGATCCTAAAAGAAACGCTGATTGTTGTCTTTTTAATGTTTTCAAATACAGTCAAACATGGTTCATGTAATACGTATGTACTTGCACATTTAAAAGTATTTACCTTGCACAAGGCCGAAGCTTTTCGGTGGCTTGAAAACTATGACTCCGGTCCACAGTTTCTTCCCATGAAGCATCGTGACCGCTGAACCGCCACAATGTGAACCTCTAAGAGACGAGAGAGGCACGTAGTGCGATTGGCCCTTGCTGACGTCTTCCCACTGAACAAGAACATGAGGTCTTCCGGCCACTTTCCTGTTATATGCATAGGGCACGCCCCCTTTGCGAGGCTTCATGGCGATAGGTTACCTAAATACACATAAGTGACAATGATTATCGATTAATGTTTTAAATTCGTGAGGAAATCACGGTGAGAAAATTGAATCACAGTAACTATTCGACCGGTCGCGTCGGCAGGAATCAAAGCCTAAATCAACGCCAAGATCAAATAAACCGCCCGTTTGAGGCGGTAAAACTCGAATAAAACTCACCTGCGTTGTGAAATAGTGTACCTCCAAATGGAAGATACCGATTCCACATGGGCAAATTCTCCTATGTTATTCTGAAAAATGGGTTTGTATACAAAGGAGATTAAACAAAGGAGATTTCGCCATTTATCAGAACATCAGTGGTTTTGCCTTTGCTTTTCGGTTGCATTCCCAGAACATAGGAATTCCAAAAAAACTTAAGTCAAAATAATTCTTAAAATATACATTTTATTAATGGTCTGACAGCACCAAAATACGCGACATGGGAACACGAATCGAATGATATAAAAAACGCCAAATCGGCCAAAAATGAACATAGGAGGTTTTGCCTTTGTACGGCAGACTTGGCTCGAACTATGAAATAATAATAACTAATGGCGTTCCACCAACTCAGTCTCTGAACAAACGTAGATAAATCATGGTTAATCCACGCCATAGCTGTTCAAACAACAATACGGCTCATCACTAAACTAAACAATCGCAACATTGCGCGGATCAGAAGCATGTGGCGCATAGCCACAACCCAACAGAGATGACGTCAGCAACTGGGTCTGCAGTCGTTGCATCGTCAAGGTACCATATGTTCAGTGGCGATTTGAGGCTGCGTGCGCATGTGTTGACTGCCAGCACGAATGCCAGTCGGCATGGTGGCACGGTTTATTTACCAATGTATCCACCCCTCTCCTTCACACACGCCTGCATGCACTCAGGCATGCCACTGATCAGGTTGTCCAGCGTCTCGCGCGGGATCTTCCTCCACTCCAGGCGAGCTTGAGGCTGTCTACCAGGCCGTCCCTGGAGGTCGCAGCTCCAGCTGCCGAGCGTCGCAGCGTGGAACCACCACGCTGCCACGCTCGTTGGTGCTGCCACCCTCTAGATACACGTCCTCGTCGTGCTCGGCGCGTATCACGTGGTTGATGAAGGCAGCGGCGCCGGCGTTACACTCCAGCTCCAGTGGTGCAGCGGCGCATCGGCATGTCGACGTAGAACATGTTGGCGTCCAAATTGAAGACGTACGGCTGCTGTTGGCCGAGCTGCGAAGTTGTCGGCCGCGTGCACACAGTCACGCGGAACCGGTGCACGCCCGGCCACGGCTCCAGCGCCGGCAGCGTGATTGACGGCGGACTCGAAAAAGCCGTCGCCGGTCATATGCACTGGCAGCGGCACCGGCTGCTGCGGCAGCATGTACTCAGAATACGCGTCCAGGCGGGCCAGTATAAGCGGCGGGCACCGGCGACGAATCACGAACGACGAATGAATCGCTTCAACTAGCTGGATAAGCATTTCAAACATTCGAATTTATTGTTTTTTGAATGAGGCAACTCTCTGCAATAAACGAACAGACCATTATGTTGAGTGCACAGTAGGTACATACGGTCATGCTCAGGTATGCCCCCACGGAAACGAGTGGATGCGAAACGCAGGCACGAGATCTTGTTGCGGAAGGACACTCCTTCTTAAGGAGGGCGCGGAAGGGGAGGAGTTTAGGCTGGGTGGCATAGAAAGCCGACACTTGATTGACCAGAGCCATGAATGATCGAAGGTCGGTCACCGAGGTCGGCGTCGGAAACGACCGAATAGCCTCCGTGTGGGACGGCAACGGTCGGACGCCGTCAGGGCCCAGACGAAAGCCGGCCCAGTCCACGGTCTTTTCACAGAACACGAACTTGTCGCGGTTCTGGAGGATGCCGTTTCGGCCACAGAGCGTCAGATACTCCGCCGCATGTTGGAACATGCATCGAATCGTGGGCTGGTACAGGATGGAGTCGTCGATGACCCTGTCACAAGACTTCACATTCAGTGTGACCCGATCGAATCGGTGAGTGTAGGCATCTCCGGAGACCTTGTACCCTTGAGGGACGGTTTTGTAGCGGTACCTGCCCCATGGTGTCAGAAAGGTCGTGAGGTGGTGGTCCGATTCGCTATTCCAGCCCGACAAGAACTGGAATAGCACCATCTCCTCTTCGAAGCTTACTGCCCGGTCACAACGGCACTGTACGACCAAGTGACACTGTCGCGCCACCTCAGGCAGCCTCGCCGCGAACTGCGCCACGGGCTGACCGGGATCGTGCTTCATCCGCTGGAGCTTGAGGATGTGGGATAGCCGGTTCTCAGGTCGGTCTGCGATATGAGTCAGGAGTTGGTGCTCACTCAAGGATGTGAGTCCAGCACCAAATCGGGCGTACAACAGGCTGTACGCAGGCGAAGGCAGCGCCTGCAACACAGTGTCTGGGTCATCGCCAGATATGCCGGCCCTTCGCTTGTAGGTCGTGAGCTGCTGCCTGAAGACCCCCAGCGCCGTGTCTGTTACAACACCATCTGGCGAGACCTCCAGTGTTGGTAACTTGGCCTTCTCAGGGGCGGCAGCAGCGGTTGGTGGGTGCGACGCTGTCTGATGCATCTGCAGCAGCTGAATGCCCACTGACCCGTCAAGCGCCGGAGTCTGGAACCCACAGTTGGGCCAGCGGCACTGCAACTGGATTGCAGAGGGCATAGGTTGAACAGGAGTGGCCATAGCTGTAGTTGCAGGCTTGTCGGCTCGATCAGATAGCAAAACTTCAGTGGAGTTGCCTCATAGCTGGATAAGCATTTCAAACATTCGAATTTATTGTTTATTGAATGAGGCAACTCTCTGCAATAAACGAACAGACCATTATGTTGAGTGCACAGTAGGTACATACGGTCATGCTCAGGTATCAACCAACAGACTGTATCTCCGAACCGGCGACACGCCGGCCTCTGTCCTGGCAGCCCTCGAAACCGCATATCACCTCCTGCAGCTGTCCAGACGTCTCCCGACACCGGTCCGGATCAGCTGACTGCAGCACCACCGGGCCCCGGCGGGACGGCTCCGTGCAGCGCGTCCCACGGCAGCGCACCCACACAGCGTCTCCGACTGTGTATGGGCCCGTCTCCACCGCAGGGAGCTCCCGCGCCCCGGCCCCACCGTCCGCGGCCGTCCCTGGCGAAGCAGCCGGCAACCGCACACAGTCACTGGGCTCGTACCTGTACACGCCACAAAACGGGGCGCTGGCCACCGTCTCGCCGTCGCGGGGCGTCACGTTATACAAATGCACCGCCTCGGCGATATCGCACCGTTTCCGGGCGGCGATGACTTTCACTGTCCGGTGGCAGCGCTCGATGACACCGTTCCCGCTCGGTGCATGGGCCGCCCGGAACCTCACCGCCACTCCCCAGCGCGCGGCGAGCACGGCAAGCGGTCGGCCGCGGAACACAGGATCGTTATCATACAAGAGCTCCGCTGGGGCTCCTCGATCAAAAATTTCTCCTCCAGCCGCTGGATAACGCACACCATACAGTGAACCGCGACGGCCCGCAGTCGATCACACTGAGGTACGGATGGCCCCCATAATGAGTTATATCAATGGCCAGTCTTTGCCACGTCTGTGGTACACCCAATGACCCGTGTCGCCACTTAACTGGAGCGGGTCGATCGCTTGACAGACATCACAATTTTTCACCACAGCGCGTACCTGGTCTCTCGAGAAGCGGCCGATACATCGACGAGCAAAATACAATGTCCGTCGGACGCCCGGGTGACCCAGCTCGTTCGTGCACTTCAGCCACGCTCTCTGCACCATCGAGGCTCGCGTTTACAGCAGGCGGCTCGCCCGCTATGGCCGCGCTTACTGCCGAGGGTTCGCCCACCGCGGCCGCGCTCACTGTCGACGTCGGATCGTCTCGGAGCCACTCCCTGGGCACCCGCGTCAGTGCATCAGCGCGATTATCCGCCGATCGCACGAGCGACACGGTCAGACGGACCTCCAGCTCGATGACCAGCTGACGGATAATCGCCACACGCCGTCGGATGAGCAGCTCACCGCTGGCTTTAGTACGGAGGCGCGCGCGGCCACTGATCGCGTCGTCGATCCACCGCTTCACGGTCACCGAGTCGGTTCGGAGGTCGATACTCCGTGCCCCCCACGCAACAGCCAAGCTAATGCCTCGAATAGCGGCATCGAGCTCGGCCATATTTATATGTACAGTGTCGTCTCGCCTGAGCCAGCATGCGTCCTCGATCACCTCACCGTCTGTGTTCTCCAGGACCACTCCGGTGGCCAGCGAGCTGGCGTCTGTCCAGGCGACCACCTCGTCCCCGTCGACACACCACACGCCACGGGCCGGGTCGTCACTGGCGAGGCGACTCGCGATACAGTCCATCTGCTCACGCAGCGTGGCGTCATCAGTGATGTCATCCCATCCACGCGTCAGCTCATTTACACGCCGCTTGAGCCACGCGACCGCGGAACAAAGCCACCCACTCACTGGTACGTGGGCCACTAGCCTTCCGCACCACGCGAACACAAATCGGCGAGTCACACGTTCTGGCAGCGCGCTCACGGCATTGTCTCGCTTCCACCGCAGCTGTCCGTTCTCCTCGTGCACCCGCAGGCCCAGGAGCCGCGCTCCACTGGCCGCCCGCTCCGGCGGCTTACAGTCCAGCCCAAACTTCAGTGCTTCAATGGATCACAAACTTTCTTCAAGACAGGACTCAGAAGGTAGTGGTTCATGACCAAGAATCTAGAGAAGAGGCTGTGACCAGCGGAGTTCCGCAGGGCTCAGTATTGGGACCCATCCTGTTTGTGATATATGTCAATGAATTGCCCACTTTGATCCAGTGCGACGCTATCAATAATGACATGGACAACAAATAGCATACTGCTACCCCAAGTCCATTATCTATATACCTATACCTAACTGCGCAAAATGCGTCACCACGCGCTCGGCACTGACTATGTCCTCATTTACGAGAAGATCGTCCACATATGGGAGGACGGCACGCCCGATGTCGGGGTCCTGATCGAGCACAGCACGTACGACAGCCTTCA